TAATGGGCGGGATTTATGGTAATTGAGAATGAGCGTGCACGCGCATCCCATTTACGACTGATTGGAATTCATTAACACACACACACACACACACATTTCACTATCACATCTGACGTTTACGAAGTATTTGTGAATCAGGAGATGAGTTTTCGGGAAGGTCTCTTTACGCGCAAATAACTCTCATATTTACTCGTATATTTACGAATGTTTCATGAATGAGACCCAATGCTTGTGTTTACACCAGCCGCGACGTGGCGTGTTTCAGAAACGTCCCAGATGCGGCTCTCCGCGCTGCTTCGCTAAAGATACAATATAATGTAAAATGTAAATACAATATAAAAGTAAAAAAATACTGTCAATTTCAAAATAAACACCCTGTGCAGACTCCCAATTGTATTGCACACCAATATACCCTTGATAGACTGTAAGGTAGAAACCCAAAAATCAAGAAAAACCACGTCGGACAGGCAAATCACGTGGTCTCGCGCATCCAGTCGCTTCGCTTCTGAAACGCTCCTGTTGTGAAGCCGCCTTTCCACTGCACACGACAAACAACAGCCGTCGGACCGGAAGTCATTCATGTCCAATGGAGAGTCGTACTGGAGCTGCGGGGAGTTCCGATCATAGATCATACACTCCATAGTGGGCGCTGCTCTTGTAGCGACCGGTAGCGTGTGCCTCGTGTGCTTGGTGTGTTTAGTACACAAAGTTGTCTCTCGTTCCTTGTTTTGTTTATGTTGAAACTTACTCGGAGCACTATTTTCTTTAATATATTGAAGATTCATCAGACGGAATGGATTGGTTTTGGTTTTGGACGTTTTGGAAATTTTTCTGGGTTGTTTGGATTGCTCAGGAATCCTCACGATATCCAACGGGAATTGTTGCTCCAATTGCACGGAAATTATCCAACGACTGTGGCGAGCTGGACTACGGACTTGCAAGGAAATACAAGGTAGGAAAATTGGGATTTTAATGTCAAGACGAGGAAAAGGGGGAAGCGCAGAGGAATTCAACTGAAGCTAAAACAGTTTGGGTTTAAGCGCATCCCACTGCCCAGTATAATTCTCGCGAATGTGCAATCCTTACGAAGAAAAATGAATGAGCTGCAGGCAAATGTGCGCTGTTTGCGGGAGTACAGAGATGCTTGTATGATTGCATTGACAGAGACCTGGTTAAACGGGAAGGATTGTGACACCGAACTGTCTTTGGACGGGTTTGGGCACCTCTACGGCTGGACCGTGACCCTTCAGTCACAGGGAAGTCTCAAGGAGGAGGCAGTAGCGGTTTTAGGCACGGGCGAACCGGGCAGTCGCCCGGGGCGGCATTTTTTCATGTCACATGGGGGGCGGCACGAGCAGTTAAAAAAAATCCTCTGCGCCGCGAATGTTTTCTATTTTCTATCATTTCAATTCAATTATTGGCAATGGCGCCCCTGCTTGCTGAGAAGGTGCCGTGCACAGAAGCGATGTCAAGGGGGTCTCCAGATTGGAGGAGCTCACCAAGGGGCCGTTCCCATATCGCGTCTTTTGCGCGCTCGAGGTCGTTATTTCAAATGTAGGCGCACGGGAAGCGCGCCCATTATTGAAGCGACGCGCTCATTTTTTTCCAGGAGCAGCGAGATGAACATTTTTAATATTTTCAGTATGAGGGTGCACCCAAACACGTGGGTGTTTTTCTCTTCTCCGTAAATAAATCTTTTAGCAGAGCTACAGCAAGCATTTTTCTGTGGTGGAAATCCATTAGCTACTAAAACTTCTTTGTCGTTGTGGAGAGCGCAGTGCATGGTTGTATAGCAACGACAGCCATGGGAAAATCGGACCGAATTTTACTATTAATAATAAAAAATAAGCTACTGTGCATTATAAATGTCAGGAATTTATCTTTATTGACCCATTCTTTTTATAAAGATGATTTAAAGGCTGAAATATGTGAGGTTTATCTTTTTATAAAACCTTTTTTGTCAAAAGTTTATTTGAACGTGTACATGTTATTAGATAACATAAAACACACTCCTTTAAAATTTGGCCATCATCTTTAATGTTATTAACTTGGTGAATAGATTTCATTGGATTAGGCCTACTTTTTGAACAAGATTCTGTGTTTAACCGTGATCATTTTGGTCACTATATTCATGAAATGAAAATAATTTTCATAATGATCAACTAAAATCAACTATAATTATGTGTTTTTACAGTAGCCTATAATATGCAAAGTACAATTTTCTATTAAAAATAATCTCTGATTCTGTCCTTTTCTCTGACATTTAAGGCCTAAGCTATTTTAGGTCTAAAACAGTTTGGATAGTTGTTAATATTAGAGTTATTAGAAATTATTTAAGAGATAAGTATTGTGTTACTACATAAGTATCTCTCGGCCACTTTCACTTTTAAAAACTCTATTTCGTGACAAAGTATAGTTTAACAAGTCATAACTAAAAGTGTGCCATGCATAGAATTCGAGGCAGTAACCAATGAGCTAATGGTTCCTCCCTGAAAGTTAGATTAATATAGCAAAATAACTGGATTTTCTTACTGTTTTTTTTTCAAATGAACGGTATGTGATTTTATTGTTGTTGTTTTTTTTTCTTGGGGGGGGGGGGGCGCTCGAAGGGGGTCTCGCCCAGGGTGTAATTCAATGTAGAACCGCCACTGGGAGGAGGTGTCTGTTTGTACGTGAACAATCGATGGGCAAAGACTGTACGTGAGGAAATGTGTACTGCTGATATAGAACTACTGACTGTATCTATCCGGCCTTTTTATTTGCCAAGAGAATTTCAGCAACTTTTTGTTTCAGTGGTATATATATTCACCCGAAATCTGATGTTCAGAAGGCAGCGGATATCATCAGTCCGGTGGTGCAGCGGTATCAGTTGCGTTCACCGGATGCTCCCCATTTTATTATGGGGGATTTTAACAAATGTTCCTTGGTGGGAGTTTTAAATTTCCAGCAATATATTGACTGTCCTACACGTCATCAAAACACACTTGATTTATGTTATGGGTCAATACCGAACGCATATAGATCCTTTTCCAGACCCCCAATTGGTTGTGCAGACCATAATGCAGTTTCTTTGCAACCATGTTATAAACCAGTGTTGCAGAGAACAAGGCCAGTCATCGCGTCTTTTCAAAGATGGACTGATGATAATATCTTTCAGTTACAAGACTGTTTTGATCGGACTGAATGGGATATTTTTAAAACTTCTTGTGTAGACAATGATGACCTAGCTGATGTTGTGAGTTCTTATATTCACTTTTGTGAAGAGTCTGTGATACCTAGGAAAAATGTAAGAATCTAGTCAAATTATAAGCCTTGGGTGACAAAATCATTGAAATATGTTTTCAATGCCGCCGTCGAACATCACTCGTTCCAATCAGCTATCGCGTCTGTTTTAAGCGATTTGAACGTTTCCTTTGTTAAAAACCAAGCAAAGAACAACACTCGGAGATGTTTCTCCACCGCTCTGCATACGTCATCTCCTTCATCGCTCTGATTGGGTTTAGGTCTATCCGCGACGTCCGTTGGTGACGCCCCTCTGGAAATGATTTGTCTATGACGCTTTGCCAGACCATAACTCCGTTACAACTGAGAATGCTCTGGTTTTAACCAGGCTAGAAAAAATCAATTATTGTACCGATTCCTAAAAAGACCAATGCCAAACAAATGAATGATTTTAGACCAATTTCTTCAAAAGTGTTTTGAGAGAATTGTCAAATTTTGGCTCGTAGAGCATACTAGTCAGCTGATTGATCCGCTACAATTGGCCTATAGGAGAAATAGGAGTGTGGAGGATGCCACTCTGACACTCTTAAATTACATATATAAACATGTGGATATCGGTAAGCATCATGCATGTTTATTATTTATAGATTTTTCTTCAGCGTTTAATACTATTCAACCAATTCTTTTAGCTGAACGTTTGCTTTCTGAATTTAATGTCCCTAAGTGTTTGGTGGCCTGGATTTTAGATTTTCTGACCAGAAGATCTCAAATAGTACGGGTGAATGGAGAACACTCCAGGGAACTGCAATCTTCAGTGGGCTGTCCCCAGGGTTGTATTCTTTTACCTTTATTATTTATTTTATATACAGATAGGTGCAGAAGTCAATATCCAGACAGACATATTATTAAATATGCAGATGATACAGTGGTGCTGAGTCTGTTAAAGCAAGGTGACACAGAGCATGGGCCCATTTTGAAATATTTTTTGGATTGGTGTGAGACTTCTCATTTACAAATTAACGTATCCAAAACTAAGGATATGACTATAGAATTTTATAATTCTGTCGGAACTCCATCTAAAGTAGTTATTGCGGGTAAAGATGTTGAGAAGGTCAGTTCATATAAGTATTTGGGTACATTAATTGATGATAAACTAAGGTGGGTGGAAAACACAAATCTTCTTAACAATCTTACAATCTGAATAACAATTTAATCAGATCTGGCCAATTAATTTCGATTGACGTGTTAGATGTTACTTTTTTATTCCGATTGTGCTACTGGTCCGATTACAATCGCATTATTAGTGTCAATGTAAACACAGCTAATGATACAAGTGATATATTGTATTGTTTTGACATAAAAAGAAACATTAAGATACTTTATTCTAACTATAAATGGAATCAAACTCTTATTAAAGGTGGGGTATGTGATTTTCTTTTTTGACCATTTTTTCAAAATCACTTGAAATCCTATTCCTAACCCACTTACAGCCACTGAGTTAGAAGCACTGAAATGAAAATTAAGCAATTTAATCATCTGTGGAACGGGCAGGACTCGAAAAACTCCAGCCAATCATTTCCAAGACAACCTAGAATCATTGGACAGTCAGTGCGTCAATCAAACAGTCGTACCATCCCCCCCTCCCCCTCGAGCGAGTCAGGGCCAGTGTTGGAGGAAAGAAGGTAGGACCTTTTGAGTTGTGTATTTTCAAAATCTGCCGGCCGTTTTGCAAATCACATATTACCAAGAAAGTAACCTCAGAAGAAGAAACTATATTAATTTACAATTAAAATTCAAACATTTTTAGTCATCACTACTCACAGTAGTGTCTGCAGTTTATAATGTGGATCATCCTTCAGATCAGAGAGCAGCTTCACTCCTTCACTTCCTCTGTTTCTTAGTTTATTCCATGACAGATCCAGTTCTCTCAGGTGTGAGGGGTTTGATCTCAGAGCTGAAGCCAGAGCAACACAATCTTCATCTGTAACCCCACAACTCCACAACCTGTAGAGAACAATGACACTCTTCAGTCTCTCAGTTCAGGATCAGATAAGCAGGAACTTCACAATCAGAAACAGAGACTTAATCCATGACATGATTGACAGGTCCAGTGTAACGGTACTGATCCACTTTTGCTACACGACTGAAGCGTGGTGTCGCACCCTCTCCACATTTGTAAGTTGATGCGCGTTCCTCAAGTTTACCGCTATGGGCGTGGTTTTGACCCAGCGGCCAGTCTAGAACAAAGGCCCCTCGAGAGACTACTTCTATTGGATAGACGCGTCGCGTTTGACATATTCATTTGCATAAAGCTGGGCATCGGCCAGCTTTTTGACGCGCAGCATTTTTCCAAATGAAGCGCCGCCTTCCCGGGATGCTTTGCGGGCGCGTTAAAGTCGCGTGACGTCACCCATAGGAATAAAGTGGAGTGCGGCGCGACTGAAGTGTCGCACGGACAAGTGGATCAGTACCGTAAGGTTCAGACCTGCTTCTACTTGCTGCTTCAGAAGGTTCATTTCAATAACATAAATGTCATAATCATTTAACTTATGTTTTCATCATAATGACAAATACAATTATGTCACTTTTCCAAATCACTCGATATGTTCACATCTCTAATCCAGTGTTTCAACTGTGGAAAGAGATCAATAAAACATTGTTATGGAATTTTTCTATTATTACTCTGATTTCAGTGATTCCTAATGATGGCCTCATCTGTTCTCACGAATGTAGTGAGAGGGGGCCTTTGGGTGATAATTTACTGTGGTTGGGAGTCAGTGGAGGTAAGGAAAAGCAGGTGGTCAAGGGGTCATCTTGAGTGCATTTGTACGTTATAGCCTAAAGGGTTAAGGGGGTATTTACCTCTCAGGGCCAGGGAGAAATAGGAAAAAACAAAGCATATCTCTCCTGTGAGGGGAGGGCAGAAATAAGGCCTTGGAGGACGCAAGATATAAAAAAGACAGACACTGCTTCTCTGTATCTCTCCTCACTGACTCACGAATGTGTATTGGTGACGAAGATCTCTCTTGCAAGAGAATAAATACTTTATAAACTATTAAATTGGACTCAGAGTGTCTCTTACTCAGTGATGATGTTTGTTGGAAAGGAAAAGCCACAACAATTTGGTGTCAGAAGAGTGGGATTCCTTGGAAGTGCCTTCTGGACCTGAGAGCGGACGGTGTTTGGCCACCTGGACTGAGCAGTTCCAGCTCTACCTCATAAGCTTGAGAGAGAGAGGCCGACCGCTATCGGGTCCGGGAGGGGCTCCACTGGAATCAAAAGAAAGTGAACCCGTGGCAACCAGCATATCTCTGGTAAGAGACGTCTAAAATATTTTCTTTTGGGGAAAAGTATTTTGTTTCGGGTATGAAATTGAACCATATTGGCTGAGGGCTGTTTCTGTGGTACGTAATCTGAGATTAATTGAGATCTATATATAGATCAAGAGGTTTCAAACAGATACGAGAGAAAATTATCTGAGATTAATTGAGGTCTGTAACAGATCAAGAGATTTCAAACAGATAGGTACCCTGAAAATCAGTTGTTCCACCACGGAGCAAATCGTTTTTAGATACTGAGGCTAATTAGGGGGAACCAGAACAGTTTTTGGTAAACCATAATTAGGAGGGCACTAATAGTGCAACCCGACCGATTTGGGTTAAAAGAAAAAATCGGGTCTGTTGGGGACGCCTAACAGATCAGGAAAACGCGCGTTGAAGAGAAATCCATAGAGAACACAGAAAAGCAGCCAATATGTGGAAGTCTCAAGGTAAGCATGCAAATTTGATATACCGGTTTTCTATCAAATGAGAAAATTATGGGGGAAAATTTATGTTTTAGATATTGAAAAACTGTGAAAATACCATGATTTCCCCAGGGAGGGAACACTGAGCACAACTAGACTGAAAGTAGTGCGAGAATCAGTTGAACAGGGCAGTGAGAAACAAAAAGGTTGTTATGGCTGTGTTCAACGTGTGTAAGCAATGTGGACAAACAATGGATTGTTGTCTTAAAGGGGTAGATAAAAAAAGAACTGTCGAGAGAAATAAGGTTTTAACTTCTTCATCCAGTAAATGGATGCATGACATTAGATGTCTAGAGAACTTACATTTATATGATACGGATTGAAGTAGCAAGCAGCAATAAGGCTGTCTGTGTGAAATAGGGGATTGTAATTTGATATTTTGGTTTCTGCAAAACAGTAAAGATAAGTGGGACTGAGACAATACGGATAATATTTTTTTTGGATCTCAGACTAACCATTTGATAAAGGAATCAAATGTGAGAAGTAGTTATAATGAAAAAAATAAAATTAAAATTAATGTTATCAAAACAAGGGAAAGATTGGAAATTCAAGTGTCACTATGACGGGTGAGAGACTTGATGGAAGAGGGAAGTAAAAAAAAAATAAAAAAAAATATAAAAAAAAGGTTGGTGTGTGAGATATGTTTGTGTGGTGATTGTGCAAACAATCATGTACTGGTTAGATAATGAAGGAACTGGCATGTAGGGAAAAGAAAGGAGAGGATACAGAAGGAACTGGCATGTAGGGAAAGATTGAGATTGACAGGGATTAACATGATATGAAGAATGTTTTAAGTTGATGATAATACCAAATTAGTAAGGTGTAAAGACAGCTATGTCCAGCTGGAAGTGTGACCAAAGTAATCAAAAAACTTGTGAAACTCTCTTAGAATAAGTTGAGTGAGCCGTGCTACTTATTAAAATTAATGTGCTGCCAATAATAATGATGAAGATTATGATTTGGCTATTGTGATTAAATCCGCCACTGGTGGACTGTAAAAGCATACAGAGAACTGCTTATCAGTGGCTCTGTTTACATTCCTGAATGGGACACACACTGCTTCAAGGGTGTGCAGTAAGTTGGAGCCGTTTGCAAGCTCACAGTGATCAAACTATAGTCAAGATGTCTGATGCTGTAGTTGAGGCTGACGCATGAACCCACCAGATGACAGAGAGTGTCTTGATTGTGGTCAGCAGGACCATTTAACACGTAACTGTAAATGCCCACCGAGAAGGTGTTTGAAAATGTGAGTGACACATTTCTGGTATTAATGTGGGTTTGAAAGTAGATCAGTGTCTAAATGACGACAGTAACATTTTTCGTCTGAGAAATAAGAGATACAAACAAGGTAAATCCTTTTGAAGAAAAGATCTATAATAGTAATTTTTATAAGTGAATTGAATACAGTTTGATGCAAAATTAATGACTCCAACATATGTGAGTAGCAAAATATGTAAAGGTAACTAAAAGGATTATTGTGTTTTAATTAAACATTTAAAAAAAGGGGTTCAGGTAATATAGAGAGACAGATCTCACAGATGATTTATAATAACTGCAAAAGATGCAGAGTAGCCTTGTCAAAGTTAGTGTGAATCCTGAATGGAGATTGATAAACTCCTAGGGAAAAAACTTTGAAGTCAGAGATTGAACTATGGTAATTGAGATTGAGAAATGTGAAACGTTATTGAGAACTAGAATAATTATTTTTATGTAAGAACAAATAAGCAGAAGCAGTAGGCTACTGGATTAACAGTTGCTAAATGTAAAATATGTAGAAAGGCATTTGATTAAACAAACAGCATGAAAAGTTGACCATGAAAGAACTAGAAGCTGTTTTGCTTCCAAAAGATAAGTTTGTTATTGGCTGTAATGAAACAGTTCGCTTATCTAAAATCTGATGTGTGCTGTGCCTGAAACTGCCAGTGCGACAGAGACTCAATCTGAGAGGAAATTTGTAATGTCTAAATTCCCTGAGGAGGGCAAAAGACAAATATAAAACCATGTTTATTTGGAAACACATGTAATTTCTGGCAAAGATGCCTTAAGCTGGGATGGAGTTAAAAGATGGTAGATAAAGTTTGATAATGTTTAGAAGTATATGAGAGAGCAGTGTACCAGTCCTCAATGTCTCAGAGTCTCTCTCAGTAAATGTCAGCTAAAAGCTGTTATCTGAGCCTGTGTCATTAGCTATTTATAGTAAAGCACAGTGTTTCAGTTGAAGATCATAGACACCGAGATGTTAAAAGAAACCATTGCCATTTAGAGAGCAATTTGTTTTAAAAGTAAAACTGAATGACTTTAAAGAAGTATTTAAAATAATAATACAGACCTTAAACGATAGAGGTGACATTTGATTAGCTTATTTTAGGACCAGTAACTTCTTTGTCTCATTTAGTCTCCACCATTCAGGACCGATGGCTCCGGCTACAGATGAAGTACACTGAATGTACGGTTGTGATCTAAATTAACTGAGTATAATCTAAGCAGCTAGGTTTCTGCTTTTAAGATGGTTAATGGATTTAAGTGATTAAATACTGCTGTTATTAACCTGTCTCCCTGTGTGAACACTATTAGGCAATCGGAATGGCTCTGGTGACTCTTGAACGTACCTTTCCTAAGCTCGAGAAAACAACTGATTTTGTTGAAGAAGACTGATTTGGTATTGGGAAAGAGCGGTCACCAGTGTGTACGTGTGTACGAGTGGCTATTCAATGACGGGAGGATCTTCCTGGCCAGGGGACAGCCCAACGCAGGGGGTCACGAACATTGGGCACATCCGGATGGAGGTGTTATATGTGAGAAAGGTATGAGAGTTGAGCGCTGATTACTGGAGGCCACCGGGGTCAGCAGAGCATTGAGAGGTGAGATGGGCTGTGAGGAGTTACGGCAGTCTGACCCAGAAAATGTGAGTTTCCTCTATACCACTCGCCAGAAGAAACCGCATTAGTTGTATGGCTTGTTTTTCATTGTGACAAGTGTCTGCAACTATGGCAGGGGGACAACACCCTGAGGAGAAGAAAATTATAGATAACGAGCTAATGGGCTTTCGAGAGCCAGCTGAGACCAAAAGGGGATTGCCATTAGTTGTTGTGGAGACAGTAGCAAAACTTTTTATGTACTGGTTGCCTTAAGGGCAAGGAAAATCATAGTGTTGATTTAGAACTAATATGTCTATGACATAGTTTTAACTCTTGAAGGT